ATTGAGCCTTTTCTTTTAACAGTTGTACAATTTAATTACTGTGCGCGTGAAGCACAATTCATAGTGCTCTCTACTCAAGTGTGATCTGACACCCAGGAGAAAGACTCATGATTTAGAAACAGAAATAAACTCCAGCGAGATAAATTACTTTTGTGAAAAACCATTGACCTTTTTCTACAAATAAAGTATAATAATGGGAAAATTGATCTTGGAGTGAGTTTCCTCGTGTTACTGTCGTAACCGAATGCGACGCGCTGTTTGAATGCTGAATTGACGGAGAATGACTGAGGAGAGAAAAACTTTTACGACTTAAATATTCATTTGTCCCTCACATTAAGCTCTCAAATGGCTTCAGAAGTCTTGGAATATAGTGCACGAAAACTGCTTAACAATATTTGTTATATCTTTAGTGGGGCTTAACAATAACAGAGAATAGTACGTGCAATATCGGACATCACCGAGAAGCTGCATCCGCGGCGGGGAGGATTATGGATGATGATGAATCTCCCGAACACTGTCACTGCTTTCCGCCATGTCTTCTCGTACAAAAAAAAACACCATTGCATGCTGTGGCTGCGTCAGACTGATGCTGCCAGGACAAGATTTGCAAAAAGTTTTCAAAATTGCGATAATCGAACATGGTTTTAATGATAATTAAATTTGAAACGATAATACTAACCGTCAGGACATTTTATCGTGGTTTATCATGAAACCGGTAATCGTTCCATCCCTACCTGCTACCTACCCACAAATATTAAAGCACTGTTTTCAAGGTTACCTGGGTCAAAAACGAATCAATACATTTTTTGTGTATTTTGACAGGGCAAGTAAAAATCTGAACTGGTCTTACTGGGCCAATAGGAAAAAATTGAGCCCTGATATATTGAAGAGCACAGGTAAATGTGAGGTTTATTACAATGGGTTTATGTGAAGATTGTTAAGTTCACTTAAATTAAAAGTTGTAATATTTTTTCAAGCCTCATAAATGTTAACATTGATAGCTTTCCATACTGTTATGCTGAATGCCTATAATTAATGGCTAAAACTGAAAAAAAAAAAATCAATTTCATAGAGACAACAGTTGCAGTATGGGTATTGGTGATACTGACCGCCTTTCATAAAAAGATGCCATTAAACAAATTATAATAAAATATACTGTATGTTGTTTCTACATTAATTTGAAGATTCAATGTGAAATGACAATATAAAAATATATTAAAACTTTAAATGTTAGGTGCGATTAATCGCGATTCATTAAAGAAAAATGTGTGATTAATTAGTTAATTTGTTTTTAATCAATTGACAGCACTTAAACTTAATGACTAGCATCATTTACTCACTCTCATGTTGTTCCAAACTAGTTTCTTTTTCGGTTGAACACAAAAGATGATATTTTAAAGAATGTTGGTAACCAGACAGTTGATGGTAGCCCTTGACTTCCATTGTATTTTTTTCCTACTATGGAAGTTAATGTAGACAGTCAACTGTTTGATTTCCAACATTCTTTAAAATATAGGCTATATTTTTGTGTTCAATAGAAGAAAGAAACTCATACAGGTTTGGAACAACTTGAGGGTGAATAAAGTGATGACAAAAAATATATATTTTTGGGTTAACTATACCTTTGAAAACGCATATTGAGAAACGCCCATACACTCTCGACCTTCCCTAAGAACTTCCCAGCAGGAGAATCCTTCCTCGCCGCAATTTGGAAGTGTGTTCAACTCCGTCAGGTATTTGGACAGACACTGGACCCCTCGGTTTTGAGGGATTGAGTCTACTCATTTGTACACTTCAGGCAGGTCCATAGACCACATCAAGGGCTTAGGGCATTCCATTTAAACCCATTGCAAGGGTTCTGCAAGTAGTGGACACTCATGCAATGTAAGCAATAACGTAGGCTACATCTGAGTGAATGAGACAGAGGGAAGGGCATAAAAGAGTTACAGGCAGGTGAGTTTAATGAAGGTTAGAGCTAAACTCTGCAGGAAAGTGGACCTCAAGGTGCAGAGTCGAGAACCCCAGATCTAAAGAGATCCATGTGAACATGTATGGCTGACTGTTGCAGTGGGGCTTAAAGGCGATGAATTTAAAAGATACACCTTTTACAAGCAGGTTTTTCAAAACAAACTGTCACAGCTAAATCATAGCACTCTAAAGCAAAAGCACTGCTGTATCAAAATATCAAGAAGTTAAAAAAGAAGAAGTCTAGATTAACTAATTAGTTGACCCAACCCCATCCACAATGTAGTTCTTGTCCAGGATTAGTGGGGACATGGGCTACGTAAGCTTGGGCTATTTCAAGAGGTAGAACGATGAAGACGTGTGGGCAGTAGGTCATGCTTGCTTCCGGGAGGCTAATGATAACGTTATCATCAGCTATGGATCTTTAAACAAGTGTGCTGTGCACCCACATGTGCAACATGGGCTCATTGGAAACACGTGCCTCTCCCTACATTTTTGCAAAAAACTCCTAAATCTTACTTATACATACAATACTTGACCTCAAAATGCTTTTACCATTGTGCATGATTTGTAAAGTAATCCATTTTGATGTTTACATCACATAAACAGCTCCACATGTACTGTAGTGTATGGATTTTGTGAAGCAGTAAAAAGGGATGCACCGATACCACTCTTTCCAGAACGAGTCCGATACTTATACTTTTATTTTTAGTACTTGCCAATACGGAGTACCAATACCTGTATTTTTATTGATTTAAAAAAAAAAAATTATATTGGGCAGAAAAACCAATAGAATATTGATCAAATTAGAAGGCTTAGCAAATTGACATTTCCAGCAGGCCTAATTTTGCTTTTAATTTACTTTTAATTTAATAGCACAGTGAATATTTAGAGCTGCTCCAGCAGGGCTCAACCATTCAAAAGCAGTGAGTGATTTTCTCTATTTTGTTGTTAGATTAACGTTGAGTACAAAGACAGCAGTAGGTTTATTAGGTTGCGGTCACTTTAAGAGCTACTGTCACTGATCAGCCTATATAGAGAACACCGATCAAATTATTTAAGGCTATTATCGGCCAATATCGACCCTTAACATTCATCTAGTTTGGTTAAAACTGAATAACATTTATGGAGACTCACTGGACATTTTACTTAAAAGCAACGTAAACAATTTTGCAGAAATGTTGCCACAGGCAGGATTGGTTCCAATGAGACTGTGTTGCACATTTGAATGCTGGAGCACTTAAACAAATGTCTCTACTAGAAAAGACAAAAAGCACAGCAGGGCAATGTACAGCACCTGTAGGACTAAAATACAAATATAAGCCATTCTGCTTCACAAACATGTTCCATATACTGGTTTCACTAAAAGCTACTGACTTCAAAATAACAACTCAGAGAGGAGAGACGCTGACTATTTAACAATGAAAATTACAGTCCTCATTCTGACAGCCAAGATTGAGGAGTACGCTTGATAAACAAAGGTGCTACCCGTTTAATATTGACTTATAACCAGCCTGCTGGATTATGATATTAAAACAGCTCAAGATCATATGCCTCTAACTGGCCATGTTATTTTTCATGCTCTTCAATAATAGCTTTTAAAATGCAAAGGGACAAATTAATAAATAAAAATAAAAAAAGTGCATTTTTATACCACTGGACTCGGCCTTCATTACACTTGCAGTCAGACCAGGGTTAACTCTGGCAGGATGTAGATCTTGATGTGAACCCACTTTGAGGTTTCTAACCACACTGTGACCTGCTTCTAACAATTGAATGAATAGAATTCAAGCTCGATAACAGTAAAAGAAGCTAAAATGGCATACAAAAGCAGAAGCCTTTCAGGCCTGTTATGTACCTTACACAACAAGGCCTAAGAACTTTTACAACTCCATGAGCTTAACCACAGGCTACAGTGAAAGCTAAACCTTCTAGTCTATTAGTGGCATAGGCTAAACAATACACCAAAAGTGCAAATCATTCCTCATTAGCAAGGCAGAAGAGCATGCAAAACAAGCAACCCATACATGTTTTCGTAAGAGGCACTAACGTTAGTAAAACTAGCAAATAGAATTTGAGGGTTTGCTGCTAAATGCAAATTACAGTTTATATCAATCCTGAACCATCATATGGTAAACGATCTGGTTGGGGGTCCATATTCAAGTGTAATGAGAGTCATACGTGACATCCTGTTTAGCAATTGCTGACCAAGATGGCAACAGCATCTGCAAGACAGAAACTCACACACTCAACATAAGATAAAGCGACAGATAAGTTACTGCTAAACATTCAACGGTCAGTAAACTCTAGTTTGGTGCTGCCTGCATGTTCAATTCCACATGCAATAATAAACTACACATTGATGGTTTCACTTATATAGCTCAATTCAATACAAAATAGTCACCGTTATCAAACATGCAGTTCTCCAATTGATTATGGAGTTTATACGTTAACAATTTCGACATCAAATTCAGTGTCTCTTTTTGCTAGTCAGATAGGAAGCGCATATAGAAGTCAACTTAGGAGGGTTTATACACATTTAAAAGCACCTTGTTTAGAGACTATTTTGTGTGATGCTAAAATTACATTGACTTTAAAATAATAAACATCTGTCACAAAGGTTAGCTAGGTTCGTACAGATGAGAGCGCCATACAAAGATGTGATGATGTATCCCTGTCAAACAAGACATCACTTCTCAAACCTCCCAAAAGATCCGGCGAACACAACATTGAAAAGTCTTAGGACTTCGTAAATCCATCCGATCTAAACATTAAACTCCACAAGAACATACTGGTGAACAAACACAAACTTGTTGCCTAGTGCAGGAGTAAGTTTAGCAGTTAGCTGGCCGTTATCCGTCCATCTGAGCCCGCTAGCTCTCCCCTCTCAAAACCGCCTCAATGAAAGTAATGGATTTAAGTCCTCAGTCGTCCAAACAACCTCCAAACAAAGCCGCAGTACTACAGATATGTCATAGGACTGATTTAAGCAACGAGAACTTGTCAAAAGAGCTTGTAAATCAATAAATTCTTACCCATTTGAGCCCGCAACCCTTTGAGAGACGTTGCACCCTCCGCCATTTTTGCCGAAGTTTTTTTTTTCCTGCTGTTTGGCGCTGACACATTAGAGGCGCGCGAGAACGCTCTGCTCAACCAGCCAAGCGCTCCAGACGGTGACAGCGACATCTAGCGTTAGACAGCACACACTGCAAGACGCAGCATGAGTGTCCGTGACCACAAGAGGGAGCCACGGAGTCTATGAAAAACTTGTGAAAGAAAAATAATCATTTTAAATGTATTTTAGGGCTGACAAAGTTACATTACTCTAATATTAAGTAAAAGTTCTAAAGTAAATCTTAATGCAAACTAAACATTTTCGAGATAGATGGCCTTAATACTTTGCTTTGACTTGACAATATAAAAGCCAATTATTTGATTTATAATATCACACTTCTCACACAGTATAAAAAGGATTACGCATGAAAATGTATAACTGTCTGTCGTTATATTTTAGGTAGGACCTCCTTTAGTGTAAAAAAATATATGATGAAGTTATGACAACATATGTTTTTACATTGCTTTAACTCGTCAAAGTTACGCAATTTGCAAAAAAAATTAAGTTATATAAGTTTCAACACATTTTTAAAGTCAGTTTAATGTAATTTAAGTTGAAATGACTTAAACATCCAAGTTGATTGTACTTAAAAATTTAAGGCATCAAACTTTTTTAACAGTGTTTGCAAAATGATTCTCATTTTTGAGTGTGTATTGTGGGAATTAAAAGTAAAACAAAAAAATCCTTACCAAAAACCCACAGTCATCACCCCTTTATTATGTAGATATATTGTTATAAAATGTAAATAATTTGCATATAGGGTGATATCAGGCAAATTGGGCCACTTTTTGGTTTATCGCTTGGGACACTAAAAGCCTATGTATGACATTTAACTGTGTTCTTATGATTAATAAGTACTGTTTTTAATATTTTTGTGTTGAATTGATGTAATAAAATATAATTGTTCAGGCCCTACAGGTTTTGAAACATTAGCTGTCCCACATTTTTTAGATGAGCAGTGTTCAGATAAAATGATAGTTATTTAATCAAAGATTTTGAGAAATTATGTTTCAAATCAACAAAAACATTAAACAAAGGGTTTGGTGTACAGGCTTTGTATATTTTTTCCCACTACTATATGTTGAACGAGAAACTGGTAGGGTCAGCAATGTGGTCAACCCCTCCCTTTAAGAAAACACCATATTCCCTTTCCAAGCATCTCTGCTTGCTTTCATTTTAGCCATTGCAGGCCTCTCATTCATTTTTTATAGCAGGCTGAGCTTTGTATCAGTTACACGTATTAAATTATGCACCAGCACTTGTGTTATTTAACACTTACGGAGCCAATAATGGATGTGCCTGTGAGGGAATGTCATGTGCTTGGAGATATGGAGAACAGAGTATGAAGCAGCCCATATAGGCCTACATCACTTTGAGAGACGAGAGAGACACAACAGAATCTCAGGGTCTTATAACAATAGCTGCTATAACTAATTCAGTGACCAGCGCAGGGCAAAACAAAACTGTAAACTTGTGTGACCTGAAATAACTGATACAGTTGAATAATATTCTATGTCTTTATATTTAGCATTTTGCAAAAGGTGAGAGATTATTTGAAGTCAGTTTTACATTTTGAAGCACAATTCAACGAACATTTTCGTGCACAATATTTGAGTTTTGACCATATTATTAAAAATTGTCATGGATTTTGATTATTTTAATTGATCAATTGATGATATCCAAAGATAAACTAAAGCACTGATCAAAGATATCTGTCACCTTATTGTCAAGGCTATTAAAATTTCTTTCTAAAGCGTGAAGTCATGGGGACCCTGTTGTAACGTCCTACAAGGTAAAAAAAAAAGGATGACATCTAGTCAAGAAGACTAATAATATATTTACGTTAATCAGATATTGTTTGTGTCTGAAATCGCCCCTATAACCTCATACAAATATCAAATTTATTTCTGAATGTGAGATTGAACAAGTGCACTCAATAACGTCCACAATGGTTTTGGACACCCAAATGGCTGTTCCCTCAAATAGTGCCCTATAGTAGTCTCTGCCCTAGTTTTAGTATGAATATGTTAGCCTTACTGTTATCTATAAGCTAGTGTGCTCCAAAACAATGACAAAATTCGCATTTAGAAGACCATAATCAAATCAGGTTGATGTTAGAATCCAACACCAGATTGACGCTATAAATCTCCAACGTTGAACAGACGTTGTATTGTGGTTGAAAATAAAAAAACGACTGATGTTGGTTTCGACGTCAACCTGATTTTTTTATTTCCAACCAAAATCCAACATCTGTCCGACGTTGGATGTTGACGTCAATCTGACGTTGTGTTCTGACATCAATCCGACTTTCATTTCCAACCAAAATGTAACCCCTTCAACCAAAATCATCCCCAGACTGACGTTACAACATTCTATGCAAGGACCTTGACAGAAATGTAGTGGAGTAAAAAGTACGATATTTGTCTTTCATATGTAGTGAAGTTAAAAAAGTTTCCAGAAAACAATAATACTCAAGTAAAGTAGCCTACAGATACTCAAAAAGTGTACTTACAGTATTCAAGTAAATGTACTTTGTTACTGTCCTGGTCATAATATTGGTTTCAAATGTGGAAGAAAGGGGTGTAGGCCTAAAAGTATGTGTGAAACCTCATACACGGGAACCCTGTGTAATTTTTCACAGTCTTGTGGTAAATTCTTTCAAGCTTCTTGCAGTAATACCCTGAATGGGAAATTTAGAGGAAATGGTGAGGTGGAGGCTGAAACCTTCCTTTCCCCTTCTGTTAAAATGATCTCTCATACAGACGTAAAACCAGAAGATGATTAATGCTTTCATTGAAAACACAATAGTAACACTCCCTCTGTTTGGGAACATCACACAATTTTAACCATTGGAACTAAAGAAATTAGAGCAGTCAGTGATTTTGATTTCTTATCTTTCTAAATCTGTTAGTTTGGCAAAATAGCTCTGTATTTCTCTTCACTGATTCACAAAACATGGAATGAACACATCCCACAACTTTACCTGCCATTACTGTTTAAAATAACAGCATTTCCACTTTGAAAATAATCAGAGAATGTCCTTAATTTTTTTTTAGATTTTTTTTTAGATTTTTTTTTTTACATGTCCAGTCCAATATATATAGATTAAAATATGCACAGAACGTCCTGGTTGCGTATGCAACCCACCGTTCCCTGAAGGAGGGAACGGAGGACGTAGTCAACGTCGACTGAATGGGAATCACGCCAGGGAGCCAATCATCTTCGAGTACTATTGAACGAGCCAATGGGAATTGGCGTGCGTGATGACATCACACACTCCGCCCCCGCGGCGCGTGTGTAAATACGGAAGTGGATGCACGCACTAGTTGCTTTTCGCTGAGGAGCCGAGCGTAACTCGGAGTCAGCGGTAGTCCAGCGATAGTGGCAAGGGGACTACGTTGACTAGTCGACGTCGACTGAATGGGGATAACCATTGAAAACGCCACTAAAGCTGCCACCTTCCAGCGCCTAGACAAAAGCCTCCAGATCCCCCCGTAATTTAAGGCGGGGAAGGGACAGGGCTTAGGCCAGGGAAGTTACTGCTGTTCCTACAGGACCACTGAGAAAGCGTTCCCTGTACTTGGAAGGAAGGGGCGCTGCGGAAGCCACATCCTGCCCGAAGGGAGGTAACATGTGGAGAATACACATATGGACTGGGCAGAAGACCGGGCAGTACAACATATGGAATGTCACTGGGGTGGCTCCAGCCTATGACAGGGGGAGACTCAACCGGACAGTGACGGCAGGGCAAGCTCTGCCAAGGGAAGACAGGGGCTCGCCGTAGGGAGACGTACTGTGGAAGAATACACATATGGGATCGCCGTAGGGATCACAGCATATGGACCCAGCCTAACACAGGTTCAACCAGTGCATACGAGTGATAGGCCTGGCTTCGGACGTTCCGCCACGTCCGTTGCCGAAGGGTATGGAGGAACTCGACAGGCTTCGGCTAAAAAGGGGAACTCAACTGGAGCAAGAATTGCGCACGTATCCAGTCCATATGAGGGGAATGGCGCAGCAAGCTGACACAACGAACCGGGCTTACACTGAAACTGGCTTCATGTGAAGGGAGCTCACGGGAAGCAGCGGTTCGACATGTAGGCTAGTTTTCTAGCGAACATGATGGGTGTCGCCCAGCTCCCAACTCTACTTAACATCTGTTAGCGAGGCACTCTGTGTCAATGCCTAGGAGGGAGCAATACCCTCACTTAGGAGGAGCTCACCACCTAGGTGGGCACGTGCACCTTGGGAAAACTTTCTCACCAAGATGAAGGCAACCACCGTAGTGGGCCAACCTCTGCTTGGAAACAGCCTTCCATTCTGCTGGTTTCCGTAACAGACAAGAGCCGGTCTGAGGTCCAGGCTTTGCATTCTGTGCACGTAAAACCGCAATGGAGCGGACGGACAGAGAAAAGCCAGGGCTGGGTCTGTCTCCTCCAGGCAGCGCTTGCAGGTTCACCACCTGGTCCCTCTTAGTGAGAGGTAGGAACCTTGGGCACATATCCAGGCCGGGGTCTCAGCTCGTAAGAGTAGCCGGCCCGAATTCCAGCCACAACTCGTTGACTGACAGCGAGCAAGTCCCTACCCTCTAGTAGAGACCATCCGACCAGGAGAACTGTTTCAACACAGAATTTTAACTCACTGCCTGCAGTGGCTCAGGGGCGGTCTCTGCAGTGCAGTAGCACCAGAGATAGGCCCAAGAGGATAAAGAGGGGCGCAGGGATTTCCCTTGCTCCCTCAGGAACCTGACGATCAGGACATGCTACCCATGCTTCTGCATCATGATGTGCATCAAGAAAAAAGTGGCACATCATTTTGAGGGTGAAGGAACAGCCTACTCCAACCTATCTTGCAGGAAAGAGAGCACTGAAATGACCGAACGCTCTCAGGTTTTCCTCCTTCGCCAGTAGGACTGCAACGTGCGCACATAAGACAGGAGCAACGCTCAACACGTAGGAGTGATAAATATCACTGATCTTAGGAGCACCTCAGCTCAACACCTAGGTATGATGAATATCACTGAGCCAGGGCGAAAGCCAA